CTCTCTCTCTCTCTCTGATTTGGTTCAAGGGGCATTATGATTTGCATTACATAACTTGTTTCCCAAAATTGTTTTGATTGGTAGAATGAAATAAAGGCCACCATTCTTGCACCTGAAAATCCATTGCCAATTATTTCTTCCTCCTCCCAAGCTGCTTTAAGCAATATACCATTGTTGCTGATGTTAAAACATTTGGCAGATAAAAATTCCTGCCATTATTGCCAAATCCCACAGACCTATCAGTTAAACTCTTAACCACCTACTCTTCATCTTTACCTAGTTGATTGGGAAAGAGAAAAGGCATAAGCTGTGGAAATACATTTTTCTGGAATGGTTAAAGCAAACAGCTTTATTCCCAGTAGGGTGTTGAGTGCATGTTTCCTGTCTTTTCAGCTCCTGGAGGACTTAGATGAGCAACTGAGCTGCACAGGATTTGAGGAAGCTGCCATTTCTCGCAAGATCAACTCTGGTAGGTGCCCATTTAAGGCTAGGCAGAGCTGAGGCTTGGGAATCCTTATGCTTGGATTTAGCAGACAGCTGAAACGACTATTCGTTTACCTATTTTCTATCCCATTGCAATCCATTAAGACTTTCAATGGTGTACAGCCCCATGGATCAACTAAATCATTAAGACTTCTACAATAATAAATAGTTCTACATAAAATCCATTCAGAAATGACAGCTAACATACAGCAGTCATTGTGATTGCGTACATGCACCAGTCTACAAGGGATCTCCAGGGGAGCTCCATTTTTAATATGCTTTGAAAGGGCATATTAATCCTCACTTAATGATAATTGGGTCTGGCAACTCTGTTGCTAAGCAATGCAGTTGTAAAGCACAATATCGCATGACCATGACAACTTATGGTGGAAGTTGCAGCAGTCCCAGTTGCTATTGTTAGATAACTCCTGTATGGCTGCAGCATTCTGTAGTTGCATGATTGCTATTTGCAACCTCCTGCTGACTTCCCCATTGCCTTTGCTTGTCAGAGGCTACATGGAAGGTTGCAAGTGGTTGATCACATGACTGAAGGATGCTGTTACTGTTGTAATTGCGAGGGTTTGCCATGCATCCAAATTATGATCATGCGATGGCTGCAATGACGAGGACCCATTTTAAATCCACCACATTCTCCTCCAATGTAACTTCAAACAGTCACTGTATAGTCATTCAACACGGATTGCCTGTATATAGGACTATGCCCTGATGCCACGAGAAGTGGGTTGCTGCATGTGGGCACTGAGGCTGATCCAGGTTCTATCTCTTTACTCTCTCTCTCTCTCTCTCTCTTTTGCTTTTGTTCAGGGAAAACATCCTGCTGGCTCAACTTTGATGTGGAAATGTTGAGACAACAATACCTAGCCATTCATGCACACAGGATAACACTGGGTAAGAATAAAATGTACTGTGGAAAGGAGCTGGCTGCTCCTGCTCTTTTATCCATGGAGATAACTCTGTTGCCCCTCTGTTGACTCCACATAACCAACATTTCTAAAAACACGGATTTGCTTTATCAAAATAGTCCTATTTCCTGTCTCTTGTGTTCTGTCTATTATGGCAGTGGTCCCCAACCTTTTTTGTACCACGGCCCGGTACAAATGATCCACGGACCGGTACCGGCATCAGCACGCACGACCAAGGCAAGGCGAGCCGAGCGACCGGCCGGCCAGCCATCCCCCGCTTCTCCCCACCACCTTCAACTCCTCCTTTGTACCTTCTCGTGGTCGATGGGCTTTTTGGGCTCTTTCTTAATCTCCTCCTGAGTAACGCGAGGCTCCACCGCCATCGGGACGGCTCTTCATTTGAAGCCGCCCCCCCTTCAACGAAACTAAGGTGTGAGGATTCCTTCAGCACCCAAACGCCGCTTTCCAACCGACGACAAGCTCACCCGGAAGCACTTTCTCAAGCGCCGTCGAAACAAGATGGCGGCACCCAAGCAAAATAGGCGGACTGGTACAAAATGATCCATGGACCGGTACCGGTCCGGGGCCCGGTGGTTGGGGACCCCTGTATTATGGCACCAAGCACTACTTTTATTTTTTAAATTATGGATAAATTGAACATCTATGCAATGCTAGCCTGGGAGCACTCAGATTAATTCCCCTCCTGCCATACAAATAGACATACTAAGATCTTCCCAGGTGTATTCACCTTCTCTCTTATGCATACCTTCCATGCTTTTTCAGAAACCTGCCTTGGGTTTAAGAATTTATGATGGCAGAGAAGCCTCCGCCCTTGATTGCTATCCTAAATCTGCTTATGCTCTATTTAGAGCTAGAGCAGGAAATGGATACCTTCCAGGTGTTAAGCTATATAACCTTGGTAATCTACAACCTGTTGGGATCTGTATTAAAATTCTAGAGGGGAACAGATTACTTATCTTCATCTTCTGAACTTGACTCCAACCTAAGAACAAACATCACAAAGATGCTGGGTCATTAGCTTTGGAGAAATACCTGAGAAAAGCAAGATTGAATATCCAGGGCCTGGGATTGAGGCCTATAATTTTGAACAGCGTTTTTGCTTTTGATCACGATAGTTTCTTCTTCCTTTTGGGCCTTTCTTTCAGGCTTCTCTCCCTGGGATCCACATACTTTTTTTCTTCTTTTAAGTAAGGAGATGTGGATGAATAAAACATGCATGTTAGCATTAGCTCCTTTTCTTTAGTAAGTTTGATTTTATTGGAGAAAAACATCTTATTGGAGGCTGACAGACCTCGCTCTATTGCAGTGAGGTTGTTCTCCGTAGGAGAGGAGAAAGCTTGAATGGGGTTATCTTAGAAGTGAGAAGTTCCTCAGGAGGCCATGGAAAATTGTATCCTTCATCCAAGATAACTTCTCTGTGTTGTAAGTGTATGTTTTTCCCGTCCTTTTTTGGCAGAAACCCGCCGCAAAGCTTCCGCTTGGCAAAGGAACCTGGGCTATCCATTGGCTATGGTGTCTCTGCTGTCATTGACGGTAAATTCTGGGGCTGAAATTAATTGTAAATTTCTGTTTTTGTCCATATCAGTCTTTAAATAGCATTTTATAGCTCCAATAGTGTGTGGCCATCCAGATAACACTGGACAGTAATTCCCGTTGTTCATCATCTCCATGTTGAAACACAATGTTTGCAAGGCAACCCCTTCCTTGTCCCTCATATAAATCAGCCTCTCCAACTTTTCTGCATTCCAGTTTTTGGGAATTTCAGTTCCCAATTTCCAGCCTTTTGACTTGCCATGTCAATGTCCTGAAGCCAGGAAAATAGTCTGAATATAAGTTTTTTTAAAAATACTGTATATGTTTAGAACTTTATTTACATCTACTCTATATGCCAAAGAACAGTGTATTGTTAAACTGTAAAGTAGCAGTAAGAGATACATGTATATATTTTTATGTGTTTTAGTTAGCTTAATACAGTGTTTCTCAATCTCAGCAACTTTTAAGATGTGTAGACTTCCGTTCCCAGAATGCCTTCTGGCTGAGGAATTCTTGGAGTTGAAATCAGCAGGTCTTAAAGGTTAAATAAATGAGGTTAAGTAACTGCTGTAATAGAACAAGTTATGCAGTATTATAGGTAATTCAGCCCTGAATGGAGTAGCCACTTGGGGGCAGCAAAGAGTTTCTCCAGAGAAAGTTATTGAAGCACTTTAGAATGGCTGACTACCTGTCCTGTTAAGTCCATCACACCAGGGTTTGGGCTTAGTTTGGGTGCAGTGCAGGGTTTTCTAAACTTTTTGCCATCACACCTCACCTCCTTTTATTGAAATCATAATTGCACACCAGAATAAGCACAATGAGAGCAATATAAAGGAAACTTTGGGGAAAAATTGAGTTATTCTAACAATGTAAACTGAAAGGTTCTTCACATCTTCCCTGAACTCTGCATACCCCTCCCAAAGCAAGGTGTTTGGGAAAACCAGGTTTAGTATAATGTGTGGCTTCGGTCATTGTGATCTCTAAGCCATGGTTTATAGATTAAATCCAGCTGGTTATAGAACTTTATACCCCAAAGCCTGGTTATCAAATCATATCTTGGGCAATAAAAGAACATGAATAGAATTCACTGAGGCAGAAAGACAAATAGTTGGTTATATTATGCTGAGTCTCTGTAGGCAGCTGATGATATATGTATCCCTAAAAGAGATTCTTTCAGTGTTTATATCTAGGATCAATGTTTTGGCTTGGGAACCGA